ATGCATTCATTGGTTGCTTCTTGTATGTGTCCTGACCTGGGGATCCAACCCGCAACGTTCACATATTGGGATAACGCTCTAATTTTTTTTTTAATTTAAATTCTTTATTGTTTAAAGTATTACATAAGTCTCCTTTTTCCCCCATTGACCTCTCCCCGGCCGCCCCCACCCCTAGCACATACCCTCAAATGCTCTAATTTTTATTGAATTCAGAGAGGAAGGGAGAGGGAGAGAGAGATAGAAACATCAATGATGATGCGAATCATTGATCAGCTGCCTCTTGCAAGTCCCACACTTGGGATCGATCCCACAACCTGGGCAAATGCCCTGACCAGGAAATGAACCTTGAACCCCTCAGGTTCATAGGTCGATACTCATCCACTGAGCCACACTGGCTGGGTGACTCATAATATCTTTATAGAGGTTTAGAAACTGGTAGATAGGGCAAGTTTATGGGAAGATGACATTTGATTTGGGCATTTTACCCAATAACTTTCAGAATACATATGATAAAATCAGAAGGAAGAGATGTAAGTGCACTTTCCCTAAGATGATGGTCTTCACATATCTAGAAAAGTACATTTTCTAGAATTTTAATGTATGTTGGTGGTAAGAGCTTGCACCTAATATATAAAGATAATTACTCAAATTCTTTGCTATTTTCTAATTAAGTACATTTTTAAAAGCTCTGTATCAGTGATTTCCTCTTTCTACACTAAAATTGGAGTATGTACTTTAGCCGTGACCTCAGTAAAAGGTGTATTTTTTTTTTTAATGTATTTTTATTTCAGAGAGGAAGAGAGAGGGAGAGATAGAAACATCAATGATGAGAGAGAATCACTGATTGGCTGCCTCCTGCATGCCTCCTACTGGGGATCGAGCCTGCAACCCGGGCATGTGCCCTTGACTGGAATCGAATCTGGGACCCTTTAGTCCATAGTCCAACGCTCTATCCACTGAGCCAAACCAGCTAGGGCAGTAAAAGGTTTTTAACCTACATTTAATTAGTTCATCTCCTTTTTATTCTTTATTTGGTAATGCTATCTCTTTTTAAAATTATTCTTCCAAAAGAACAAACAACTTTAGTGATCTTTCAGAATCTGAATGAAATGAGTGTTTCTTCTCCTTTTCTCCATTTCTTCTTTCCCTGTTTAAGGCAAAAATATTAGTTTACTATTTCCTACCCCACTTCTTAATTTTTAAAATCAGAATGTGACTTTAATGGAGAAAAAGGCAGGTTTCCCAACTCGGTAGTAATGACATTTGGGGCCAGATAATTTGGTGGGAGGGTAAGGAGACAGGCTATCCTGTGCCTTCTGAAATGTTTAGCAGCATCCCCATCTCTGCTGACTGGATACCAGTAGCACTCTTCCCTTCAAGTTGTCACAACCCAAAACTTAGCCAAATGTCCTTTCGGATGCAAAATCACCCCCCGTTGAGAACCAACTATTTTAGAGCATGGCCTAAAAAAGAACACATGTGGGATGGCTTTACATTTATAGAATCATAATGAAAAGGAAGAGTTAATATTGTTATAGATAGCACAATAGGATACCTTTCATAGCTGACACATAAAAGATTTAAAGGCAGTGAAAGAGAAGATATTTATAAGAAAGAGGTAAAAGGGATCTGGGAAAGGCAGCTTTATCCATTGAGTAATTTTACAGGGGGATACAGAATAGGAATAATGATGTGGTTCATAGCACTTTTAAAAAATGCTATTATTACTAGGACATGATCAACACACATTTATACTAATCCTTTAACCACTCTATAACTAGAATGCTGTGTGATTTGAATTTCCTTGTAGAGCAGCGATACCCCTGACAAACAGCAAGATTTAATATAATCACAAGTATTTTAGGAAAATGTAACAAAAATTTAGGTAAATTCATGACTTAGCAGAGCACCTTCATTTCTAAAAATGCTAACTTATTTGAAATTTGAATGTTATTTGTAGATTATTTAAGACTCCTTAGTAATCACAAACTTTTATATAATTGGGGAAACCAAGGTAATATGTTTAGTGGTTAGAGTATGGGTTCTAGTATTGGACTGCAAGGATTTGAATATTGCCTCTTTCATTGGCTCACTTTAACCTAAGGCAATTACTTAGTCTGAGCTAAATTTCGGTTTCTTTTTCCATTATGGAGAAAAATTGTGTCTAGCCCATAGGCTCACTCTGAAGATTCAATGAGTTAATCTATTTATGGTATTTTGACATAATATTTGGCACACTCAGTAAATGTTTATCTGGTTGCCTAGCATCAGGAATTGACTTTATGGGAAAGCATCTCAGAACAATTTGAAATTAGATAGGTATGAACACCTATTGTAAATACCTGAGTAATTTGAAGGAAGTTAAGCACCTGTTTTCAGATACTCTGTTAATTTAAATATATTCCAGTTGTCTATTTCTTGATATCTTTAATTCCTCAGTCTTTCATCTTGAGGTTTCGTCTGTACCTGTCATGATCATCCTACTAGGAAAGAGATATCAAGTTGGACCTTAGAGTCTCATTGCAGCAGTGTGAGGCCCTGTATTTATCTCTTTAATTATGTACCCTATTTTCTCATTTCCCCTCATTTTTCACGAGCTGGTTTAAATTGCTCTTGTTTCTGTAGAGTAGACCCTCAAATTTTTCTTTACCTAAGGACTTACAACGGGCAAGGATGAAGTCAAGGGGCCTAGAATATTCTTGGAAAATTCTTGTGTATCTGTTCATTGCTTTTTATATTTCACAGATGCCTCTTTTGAAGTGCCCATATCTAAATATCAAACTAAAGAAGGTTGCTTGTTCCCTTTCCCCCTAGGCGGAGAAGTTAATGAAGCAAATTGGTGTGAAAAATGTGAAGCTTTCAGAATATGAAATGAGTATTGCTGCTCATCTTGTAGACCCTCTTAACATGCATGTATGTACCTTTAATCTTGTTTAATATTTTGGGGGGTCTAGAATTTTGTGTCAGTGGTCCCAAAGGCCATAACCAGGTCTGATGATTCTGTAGGAGGAATCACAGCATTCAGCATAGGGGTCCCCACAGACATGGCTTATTACAGCCAAAGGGTACAAGGCAAAATCAGCAAGGAAAGAGGGTCATGGGATAAAATGATAAAGTCTGAAGGAAATCAGGCACAAGCGTCCAAGACTCTTCTCCCAGTAAAGTCACACAGGATGCACCTGATTCCTCCATCAACAAGTTGTGAGAACCCATGTAAAATACTATCCATGGGGAAACTCGTTAGAGACTTCATGCCCAGGGTTTTAATCGGTACTGGTTGTGTAGACTTTGTTTTTCTCACATATACCAAAGTTCTGAAGGAAAATAGGTATTTGCCACAAACCAAATTGTTTGCACAAATAGTTTAGGCACAGTGAACTGTTCTTATCAGGGAGTTATGGGAACACTCTTAAAACCTAAGTTCCCATACTCCAGCCAAGGGCCTGCCTTGCAAGCATAAGGATAATAATTTCAATCCTGCTCTGTTATCTTATTTTTGTGCACATTTGTTGAGTTAAATTTGTGCTTGTTTATATTTACCTTTGTGGCATATAAAATATATTGCTTTAAGTCATGTGGATATTTGATTTGGAATTTAAACTTAGATTTTTATAATGAGGTATGGTAGGCAACACAAGATTCTGAATCCTGTTTTTCCATTCATGGCGTTGGCAAATTATGTCCTCTTTGAGTCTCAGTTCCCTCATGTATAACCCAGGGAATTGTTCTGGATTATACATGTATAATACCTGCTCTATCTACTTAAGAAGGGTTATTTTGAGGACCAGAGTAATGTAAACTCTAAAAATCTTATGTGAATATTTTGTAAGAAGAGGTTTAAGTACATTTTGTAACAAGAGGTTATAAATAAATAGAATGAAATTTGATATCCTATTCCCAAATTTAGAAAATAAAAATCTACAATGTCTGTTATTATCTGTGTGCACAAAGACATACATACCCCCAGAATTAATCCTCTATTTGAATTTGATTTATAAATTTAAAATAGTACTTTTTTTTAAGTTTTAAAGAAAGTAAGTTTGTTGTAAATACTGCTTCTGACTGGCACCAAATTCAGCCTCTTTATTCAGTTATATTAGAGTTAGGTTGATTTTTTTTTTAAATGGTCTTTTCAGTTTATTATAAAAAACGTCAGAAGGCTTTAAAATACACAAACTGTGTCTGTTTTATTTTATTTTTTAAAAATATATTTCAGAGAGGGAGAGAGAGAGATAGAAACATCAATGATGAGAGAAAATCATGGATCGGCTGCCTCCTGCACACCTCACACTGGGGACCGAGCCCACAACCCAGGCATGTGCCCTGACTGGGATTCGAACTGTGACCTCCTGGTTCATAGGTCGATACTCAACCACTGAGCCACGCCAGCTGGGCAAACTGTGTCTATTTTGAAAGTATTTGTCCCCTATTTACTATTTATAAAGATAAGTTTTAATACTATTTTACTTTTGGTTAATAAAATTCAGAAGTCCATTTGGGTGGTATAGGCCTTTTTTCTAAAATTCACTCCTATTATGCTTGACAGCATCATATATGAATTAGATACACTTCTGGTGAGCTCTTCCAGATCAGCAGTGCTGAATTAACTGAGCTGGCTGTCAATCTTCTCGGCAGGGTGAATTCAGCTTTTAAAGTCCCTGCAGTTTTAAGTGCCAGACCTAGTGCTTTTTTCTTTTTTTAATGGTAGGTAGTTGACTATTAAATTCCTTTTTGCAGTGTCATAGTGCTTTAATTTCATTATTACTATGAAATGTCTTTACTCTCAGTAATATATAATTTTAATCTTTTACTGTTTATGTATACTTATCAGAATAAATGTTACCATTTGGGGGAAATTTTTTTAAAAAATATATTTTTATTGCCCTGGCTGGTTTGACTCAGTGGATAGAGGTCAGCCTGCGAGCGTCAGCCTGCGGACTGGAGGGTCCCAGGTTTGATTCCAGCCAAGGGCACATGCCCGGGTTGTGGGCTCGATCACCAGTGGGGGGCATGTAGGAGGCAGCCGATCAATGATTCTCTCTCATTATTGATGTTTCTATCTCTATCTCCCTCTCCCTTCCTCTCTGAAATCAACAAAAAATATATATATGTATATGTATTTTTAAAAATATTTTTATTGATTTTATTGAGGGAGGTAGAGATAGAAACATCAATGATGAAAGAATCATTGATCGGCTGCCTCCTGCATGCCCCGCTCTGGGGATCGAGCCCACAACCTGGGCATGTGCGCTTGACTGGAATCGAACCAGGGACCCTTTGGTTCGCAGGCCGACATTCTATCCACTGAGCCAAACCAGCTAGGGCTGGTGGAATTTTTTTTACTTTAGTGAGTAAACATCCGTTGTAAAATTCATGTTGACCTTACCTTTTACCAGGTTACTTGGAGTGATATAGCAGGTTTAGATGATGTCATTACCGATCTGAAAGACACTGTCATCTTACCTATCAAAAAGAAGCATTTGTTTGAAAATTCTAGGCTTCTACAGCCTCCAAAAGGTAAAGTATATTTGCTACAGCATTAAAAATCTTAGAACCACTGGAACTTTGTCATTATAGAACTGGTGGATTTGAAGTTAGATTTTCTAGAGAATGCTGAGATCCAGTAAACTAACAGTTTTCAAATAATTGCTCATTCTTTTTGTGTTTTTTTTCTTAAGGTATTTAACATATTTATTCTCTCAGTGGAATGTTCTCTCATTCTCCTAAAGTACAGTTAAAGATTAGAGCTCTGGGATACCATACTTCCCTTTGTGCTTCTCAGATAATTTCCTTAGCTCCTCCATGTAGGTCTGATGCAACTTCTCTATCTGCTCCAGGGTTGGGTTCAGAGTGATGAATCGGAATTGGATGGCCAACAACAGTGTGAATAGGTTTCCGATATAATTGCTCATTCTTTAGCTTCCCAAATTTAGATGAAGTTAACATTGCAAAATAGTCCTTTTATTTCAAACTCATTTATTACGTCCAAATAAATGGAAATTGGGAAAATCAAGGTTAAAAAAAAGTCCAAAGTCACAATGTGGTTTTTTTTATTTTGTTTTCGAGATAAGACTTTTTTTAAAAATTAAATTTATTGGGGCAACATTGGTTAATAAGATTATATAGGTTTCAAGTGTACAATAAGACTTTTTTTTGTTGTTTCACAATTCTAGTGACTTTTTCCCTTTTAATTATTTCCACTTAATTACTAAATACACATTATTTTTAAGGGAAATGTTTCCTTGTCCTTAGTAATTACTTTGAAAGTCTTGGAATTCAAGAATTGAAAGATGCCCAGCCGTGTCGTGGCTCAGTGGTTGAGTGTTAACCTATGAACCAGGAGGTCATGGTTCAATTCCTAGTCAGTTCACATGCCCACATTGCGGGCTCCATTCCCCAGTAGGGGGCTTATAACTGCATCCTTAAATGTAATGCCTACTGGGGATTGGGCCTGCAATCCGGGCATGTGCCCTGACCTGGAATCGAACTGTAACCTCCTGGTTCATAGGTCAATGCTCAACTACTGAGCCATACTGGCAGGCAAAAAAAAGTGCCACTTTTAAATAATATTGCTAGAGTCACTGATAACATGTCAGGTGAGAAAACATGAATTTTAGTGAAATTTAACATATATAAGGAAATGGGAATAAAATAGTTGAATGGGTAATTATAACACTAACACTTATGTAATTATCACCCAGGTCAAAAAGTGAACGTTACCTGGCCGGACATTTTTATTGAAGGGAGGAGGCACAAGATTCCATAATCCCAAATACTTGTCATCACTGACACTGAATATAGAATATGGCTTCTTCCTTTTCTACTATTAAAAAATGTGAATAAAAACAAGTGAATATTGGGAAAAATTATACTGTGGCTAGAATTAATATGTTGATTATCACAAACTAAAGCAAGTATCTTATTCTCTTAAAGGAAATAATAAAAACATGTTTATTTCCAGGTGTTCTTCTCTATGGGCCTCCAGGCTGTGGTAAAACATTGATTGCCAAGGCTACAGCCAAAGAAGCAGGCTGTCGATTTATTAACCTTCAGCCTTCAACACTGACAGATAAGTGGTATGGAGAATCTCAGAAATTAGCTGCTGCTGTTTTTTCTCTTGCCATAAAGCTACAGCCTTCCATCATCTTTATAGATGAAATAGGTATGCTATGTTTTCTATTGGAGCATTTTAAAATGCTATATTTAAGGTTGGTATTTAGATGACCAAATTGAGTTTTGTTTTTTTAATATATTTTTATTGATTTCAGAGAGGAAGGGAGAAGGAGAGAGAGATAGAAACATCAATGATGAGAGAGAATCAGTGATTGGCTGCCTTCTACACGCCCCCCACTGGGTATCGAGCCCGCAACCCAAGCATGCACCCTGACGGGAATCGAACCATGATCTCCTGGTTCAAAGTGATGCTCAACCACTGAGCCATGCCGGCTGGGCCAAGTTGAGTTTTTAACAATTTTTAGGCCAAATTATTAAAAACAAAAGTGATAACCACCATCCTAATATGCTCTGCATAATTTCTGTGTTGCTGAATGAGTCTGTTCATTATCCTATTGGATAGCTTTTTCTGTTTTCCCTCTTACAAACCGAATGCAGTAGACATCCATTTGCATGTTTCCTTAAGCACATATGTTTGTCCAGGGTAGATATCAACTAGTAGTTGAACCATTAGACTGTGTGTTGTGTTCATCTTCAACCGAATGAGGACTACCAGTTCGTCAGGGTGGTTATACCTGTTTTCACTTTCATTGTGTAGTTTGTATCCCTAGAAACTCCCTAAACTTTTTTTTGTCAGATATTATCATTACTTTTTGCCAGTTTAAATAGCATAAATTATCTCATTATTGTTTTAATTTGGGTTTTCCAGCTTACTATTAAATTCAGGCATCTTTTAACATGTTGATTAGTCATTTGGATTTCCTTGCTTGTAAATTGTTGGTTTTTTGAGGTGATTTTTTTGTTTTGTAATTTTTTAAATATATTTTTATTGATTTCAGAGAGGATGGGAGAGGGAGAGAGAGATAGAAACATCAGTGATGAGAGAGAATCATTGACCGGCTGCCTCCTGCACACGCAACATTGGGGATCAAGCCTGCAACCCGGGCTTGTGCCCTTGCCCGGAATTGAACCTGGGACCCTTCAGGCCACAGGTTACGCTCTAACCAGCTAGGGCTTTTTGGTAATTGTTGTTGATGTTCATTATGATTGCTGGATCTTATGGTAAAACTATATTTAGCTTTGTAAGAAACTAGCAAACTATCTTCCAAAGTGGCTATACCATTTTGCAGTTTCATCAGCAATAAATAAAAGGAATCTGTTGTTCTGCATCTTCTTCAGCAGTTTATTGGATTTTATTATAAGTTTTTTTGATTTTAGCTATTCTAATAAGTTTGTAGCGGTGTCTTATTGTTATATTAATTTGCAATTCCCTAATGACATGTTATTGAGCATCTTTTCATACGCTTATTTGCATCTGTATATCTTCTCTGGAGAGGTGAGGTGGGTATCTGTTTAGATCTTTTTGGATTTTTCTATTGTTGAATTTTAAGAGTTCATTGTATATTTTGGATACAAATCCTTTGTCAAATATATGTTTCGTAAATACTTTTCCCTAGTCTGTGCTTTGGCTTTTCTCTAACAATGTCTTCCACAAGGAAGGACTTTTAATTTTAATGGACTCCAACTCCACTATTTTTTCTTTGATGGATTGTTTTTGGTGTTGTTTGTAAAAACTCATCATCATACCCTGTATGGATTTTCTCCTGTATTCTGGCTTTATAGTTTTGTGTTTTACATTTAGATCTGTGATGCATTTTGAGTTAATTTTTTGTGAAAGGTATAAGGTTTGTGTCTAGATTTTTTTTTAGTATATAAAAAATGTTCTAGCAACATTTATCAGATATGTATTAAGTTTTTATAAAAATACTTTATCCAACCTTTCAAATAGTGTTTACATGTCTTTTGCCATCCTTTTCACTATTCTGAGCCCTTATATTTAAGTGTGTCTCTTGTAAGCACTACTACACAGTGGTGGCTAAGTAGGCAGCTGAACTTAATTTATCTTTAAAAAATAAATAATTTTAAATGATTAGATTTTCTTTATTTTTTTTTTTTTTTTTTTTTTTTTTTTTTTTGGTGAGTTAGTTTGATACATAGTCCAATAATGGATAGATTGTACAAAATTGGAACTGTATAAGAAAATCCAGGATTTATTTTTACTGTCTTGTTTTATTCTTAGGATGTATGACCTTTTAGTTTTTTCATTCTAAGAGGAAAATGCTTCCCCGCTTCTTAAAAGCATTTGATGTTCATTGTAGATAATTTGGAAAACAAAATAATTCAAAACAGGAAATTAAAGTTGTTCTTAAGTATTTCACTGAGCAATAACCAAAGTTATTTGCATTTTGTTTGTTTTTTTACATGTATGCTAGCTTGTATGTTTTGAACCATTTTCTGTCCTACATTTTCCCACCTAATAGTGTTTTGACATTTTCTAATGTCATTTTATTTATTACCAGGGAAAGTGAGGAAAAGGTTGTGACCCCATAATTAAGAGCACAAAGGATACAGATAATCTGGAAAGTTGGGGCCAAACTACACAGATTTTCCTCGAAGACACTACTTGATCTTTTTCTAGCCTCTCAGTACCAGATCCTTTACTTCTTTTATATATGTTAGCATAAATGTATTTTTAGGAAAGAAATGAAGTTTGTGAATTGATTGTGTGTGTGTTTTTCAGTTTGCCCAATAATTTGCCAAAATTGTTATATCAGAATAATGTGTGAAAAGGCATAGTAACCCTTTTTCTTGTAATCTTTCAGGAAGTTATTGGCTTTTGGTTAAATGATTTGAGATTATATAAAGAGTAAATAATTCGTTAATTTCTAACATTAAGGACCTTTTCCTTCTAGACTCCTTTCTACGAAACCGTTCAAGTTCTGACCACGAAGCTACAGCCATGATGAAAGCTCAGTTCATGAGTCTCTGGGATGGATTGGATACTGATCACAGTTGCCAGGTATTTGAAAGAAATGTGCCTTAAACTTGTAGTGTTGAAAAGAAAAATCCAGGGTGAAACCTCTCCTTGGAATTTTTAGGATCATTATGCCAAGAAAGAGGAAGTGACTAGTGGCTCTGGGTCTGTTTTTACCCTTGCTTACCTCCCTAATGCACTGTCTTCATACTGGCCTCAGCTTAATTTCTTTAGTTTTTTTGCAGTTTGTCGATTGATTTATCTGAGTTTTGTAGATACTTTTTATTATTTGTGTATGTTTTATAGCCAGAGGGGTAAAGAACCTCCTTTATCCACCATGTTACCATAAATCAAAAGAAAGAGAAGAAAGCACAACAGGTGAATTTAGGTGACATTAATAGAAACGATTTTTATTAATAATTGGTTCTGATAAAGCTCTTCAATGGGAGTAGTTTACAGGTTTCCCAAACTAGTATTCTCCTAAGCAACAGAATTTAAAATACTTAGATAATTGAGTAGTTTAGGCCAGGTAAGAGGAAATAGCTTAATATGATACTCTATTCTATCATATTATAGTTTCAAAAGCCAAGGAAAGAATGATAATTGGATGAATTTTATACTCCAGAGCCACTTCATTCAGAGCTCCACAGCATGGTTCTGATATACACAACTGGAACAGTTTTCAGAACCAGGATTTCTTATCATGCTAATAGTGCTTACTGTTTTCCTTGACAGATTTTTATTTGAGGGAGCAAATAAAGATGTTACTTTTTTATTTAACTCCAGCACCATTTTATTTAACCTTTTTAGTGTTGAGGGTGTTAAAATTGACATTAATTTAAATAACAATTTTAGACATACTCTTCTTTGATCTGAACCAGTTAGCTTTTCTCTAAAATTGTCTGTTCTCTGACTATGGATGGAATCCAGTACCCCAGCTAGCTTTCTTATATGTCTGATATGGCCACAAATGAAACAAAAATAGTAGAATGACACAATTAAATCTGTCACCACTACCAGAAATCCAAGTTAACTGATGACGTTCTTCACCTTGAGATACATGGGACATAAAAGACCATAGTGTTTTTAGGATAGTCATTGACCTAAAGTTTTGAGGAATAAATTTAGATCTGATTATTTTAAATGTGAAATGATAAAAAATGTATCTTGATATTTTGTCTAAAGATTTTTAAAAGTCTTAACTAAATACCTAAAGGTGCATTAATTTTGTTGCTTAAATGCTAAAAAATTACTATTGCTTTCCATTTTTTATTTTAGTTCATTTACAGTAAATAAAGATAAGTGTAAAGGTTCCCTACCAGTTTTTGCCCCCTAAAATTGCTCCTTAAAATTTGCTGCTTGAAGTGAAACTACAAGTGGTTTCATTCACTCTTGCTTTTTCATCATGAATATTTATTATTATCTTATCGGTATTCTTTAGTCCATGTTATGTTAGATTTATTTGCATTCCTTGATCCTAATTTTTAGCATTCCATCTTCCATGGGTTTTTTTGTTTCATATCTCTCTTTTAACACTTAATACTCTATCTTAAAATGTACTTTCTTATATTCATCCTTTATCTTATGCAATTAGTTCATTTGATCACTCTAAGACTTTTTTTTGTTTTAAATGTAGTAAGAAATTTTCCTTTCTTATTAATTTATAGAATTGTAGATAGTCAGTAAAACAAACAAACCACAAAATAAGAGCATTAATATTTTGATTTTTAAGACCTCTTAACCAAATGCAAAATTGCATTGTAGAACTAACATTTCTCAAATTTGTATTTGTACTTTTTTCCCTCTAGGTGGCAACCTTTCACAGTTAATTGAAAGTAATTTGGCTCATAAATATCATTGAATGTAAAATATAAGATTTAATGGATTTTTCAACATGTTCTGGAGTTAGACTTGTAATTATTTCAGAAATCTAAAACTTCTTAGGCTGAAATAAAATAATATTAAATAAAACTTTCCATTAAAATACCAATAAATTTCATTTTGGATAGCTAATGTGTGCTGTTATTAGGTTATACAGAAATATCAACAGTAATGGTAATATTGAAGCCTTTCAGAAATTAACTTTTGTATATCTTTGTCTTTATTCATGTTGATTTTTTATCTCTACATCCTTTATAAATTAATGACATTAACACAGAGGTTGGCAGGGTCACCAGCATTTTTAAAAAAATTCTACCCAGAATTTTGATGTTTACTTTTATTCTGTTGCCCTTGTTTAAGGTTGAGTTGCTTGAGGTATTATTAGCATTGAAAAGATGTCACCTGTAGTGCTGACACATGCCATGAGATAATGATGTGAAATGTCGAGGAAAATGTACATATCTATTACTTTTACCAGTATCCTTAGACTTAGGGGAAATGATTCTTTCCTTATTACTATTAATATCCCACATATACTCCCAAGCTATAACATAAATGGCTTTTAGTTATTCAACATGTAGCAATTGAGTAACCATATTTTGTAAAATACAGTAATTTTTTTTTAAAAAAAAACATCTTATCAGAATTGCTATCACTATTAGGATTAACTTCAATTTGTATGTATAAATATTTGAGTAATACATACTGGATTAATGTCAGATTTCTTATAGAAGATTTAGTTTAAATGCCACTTAATTTTCTATATTTTCTAAGCCCCTTTAATAACAACTTAAAAGCATTATTATTGGTGGATTTAATACCTTTGCTTTCTTTATATATTTAGGTCATAGTGATGGGAGCGACTAATCGTCCTCAGGATCTTGACTCAGCTATAATGAGAAGAATGCCTACAAGATTTCATATCAACCAGCCAGTAGGTGGTTTTGATTGATGTTATGAACAGTTAAATACTCACTTTCTAAAGGTCTTTACCTGTGATTTCAAGAAAGGAATGATTTTTTTAAAATAGCACTTATTTATGACAGGCAGGGGAGGAATAGGGCAAAAATCCACATAATTGTTTCTTTGTTCTTTCTACTCTTGCTTTTCTCTTCTTTCTTTCCTAAGATCCATATGATTTGCTTCTCCTCAATGTATGTAATTACCTTAACTTTGCCTACATACTTTAGTGGTTTTCTTTAGATTGTTGCAAGTTATTTATGGAAGATACATACAAGAATCTAAATTGTAGTTTTAGGATAGGGGTTGGGGTTAAAGATCTGTTCTGTTCAGAAGTCCTGACAGGATAACAGCCGGGATTTATTTGATTAATTATTAGCAGCTGTAATAAGTGCTTTCCTTTGACAGGATTAATGGTTAACCAGTAGTTAAGATATTAGACTTTAACTTAATGGGAATGTGTTGAAACAGTACTATATGCTTTCCAGCATTCTTTTGTTAAGAAGTACCCTCCAGTAGATAATAATAATTTATTGATACTCTGATTTTTGCACAGAATACTCAGACCCTGAATTTTCTCTGACTTTAGATCAAAGAAAAAAAAACCTGTTAGTAACAGAAGATATGTACTATACAATCAGCATGTTACATGTACAGCTATGTAGAGGAACTTTTAGGTTGTTCCTTTCAAATTTTGAAGTAAATAATAATTCACTTACAATCTCTGGCTAAAAGTTCTTTGTCCCACTTAACATTCTGCAACTTACCAGATCAGTTTGTGGCAGTAAACCTGTTTCCTAAAGATTGATGGTTGTAGCCTCTATAAATTTACTCTGATTTGCTGTAGCTACAACCTCTGGTTCCTCTGAGAGTATGCATATATTTATCAACTCTTTTAGGAACTTTACCTGATAAATCAGTGAAGAGAATTTTTTTAACCTGATATAGGAGACTATACAATTTATTTTGTATGACCAGTATTCATTGAGCATTAATATGTGTCAAACCCCCACAAGGCTCTGGTGAAGGGAACATAGCCCCTGTCCTCAAAGAACTCTGTTGCAGTGTAGTCAGACATGTAAATAAATAATGCAAAGTGTACTGTACACAGGTATGTTTAAAGAACTGTGAGAACCTGAGATGATGAAGAATACTAATAATTCTGTCTGGGGAGTTGATGAAATGTACAGACTTAGCCCTGGCCAGTAGCTCATTTGGTTAGGCAGCGGTCGCCAACTGGTGGTCCATGAGGTCCGAAAGGTTGGCAACCACTGGGTTAGAGCATCGTCCCGATATGCCATGGTTGTGATTTGGATCTTCCATCAGGGCACATACAAGAAGTAACCAATGAGTGCCTTAATAAGTGGAACAACAAAGCAATGTTTCTTTCTCCCTCTCTCTCTAAAAAAAATTAATAAGAATTAAAATGTACAGAATCCAGCTGGGCATTGAAGGGTGGTAGGAAATTGTGAGGTAAGAGAAGGCTTTCCTGCCCAAATGAACAAAGGTAAGAAATTTCTGTGTGGAAGCTATGACTTCTGGGGTACTTCTGTTAGAGCATCAAGGAAAATAGATCATGAGACTGCTGCCAGGTTTGATGAACTTTGTATGCCACACAGAAGAATTTCTGTTTTATTTTGTTAGCTGGACATCCAAACAATTTTATGGAAAATTAGTCTACCTCAGTGGTTTGAAGACAAAGATTATATTGATAGAATATCTGCTTGTAGTCCAATAGAAAACAAAGTAGAATACAGTAGAATAGAACATACGATACATAGCATGGGAAGTAGACTCTACTAAAGTTATATTCGTTCCCCCCCCCCCAAGATTTTTGTATTTTTTATTGATCTTAGAATGGGGGTGGGGGGGTAGAGAGAGAGAGAGAGAGAGAGAGAGAGCGAGCTAGAGAGACAGAAAGAAACATCGTTCGGTTGCCTTCTGTAGGCACCCTGCCTGGGGATCGAATCTGAGACCTTCAGATGCACAGGATGATGCTCCAACCAACTGAGCCATACTGACCAGGGATAAAGTTATACGTTTAATATATTAATTTTTGTGAGTTACCAAAATGAATTGTAATAGATTTACAAATTTGTTATAAATTCAAAGACGGTTAATGTACAAACTGGGATTTTATAACCCTCTTTTCATTCTGTTTTGAGAGAATAGGGTAATTTTTTTTAATTGCATAACTATGACATCAAAGTGTATGATTAACCTTACCTTAAAACTCCTCTCCAAGTTAAATGTTTATTTTAAAATAAAAAAGTAGTTTTTGGAGATCACCTGACACACCAAATTAACCCTCATACGTAACATCCTTGAATTACAGAAACAGCAGGGTTTGTTGTGTTTTCCGGGTCATTTGATTTTATATTTGTCATCAGGTCTGATTTTTTTCAGTGGTTATGGAAATAGGGATGAGTTCAGCCATAATGATTCTTAAAAGCATTTATACTTTCTATATGTAAGGCATTTTATACCAGCTTCTATTCTCTGGTGTAATAGTAAGATGCATCATTGGGGGGAGCATGCAGGCATATGAACAAATGTGCTATCAGCACTAAATGAAATTCACTCATGTAAATTAGTGAACATGGAAGTTATATGTTGAAATGGAGGAACTGAAGGGGTTTTGTTTGCCATCTCTCCAATTACTGGTAAAAATTTTATGGCAGTGGTGTTTTCAGAAGTTTTCTAAATGAAGAAAAGGAGATTTACAGAGTAATAGAGGAAAGTCATTGGTAGTCATAGGTCGTCTACTCAAGAAATATTTAAGGGCATGTTTTCTGCCAGACATTGTGCTAGGCATTGGGGATTCAGAATAAGAAGATATAGTTGAGTAGGACAACCAAGACCTTGTTTTAGTCAGTAGCTTCCATGACCTCTGTCAGAGTTTCTGTCATTTCCTATAGGGATTGTCAGGTAATTTACAGGGAAGAAAGAAATATTAGGAAAACTAGTTGATTTCCCCGCCCCCCACCCCTTTTTTTTTAAAGCTAACTGGAAATTATCCTGTTTTAGGCTCTAAAACAAAGAGAAGCAATCCTGAAACTCATTTTGAAAAATGAAAACGTAAGTAAAAAATTACAATTTTTCCCTATCCTATAAATATAAATTACAATTTTTCCCTATCCTAAAAATGTTTATGTCTTTACATCATTTTAGAGAGAAATGAAAAAGAAAGCTGAGAATAGTGTAGCTTTGAACTTGACATAAATTACTATATAAAACTCTTGGCTGATGATATAACTCAATAATTATGGTATACTTGAACTACAGATTAAAATCCTCAGATATTTTTTAGTGTTTTCCAATTATACAAGATATGTTTATCTTTGTACAGAAATGTGGGGGTTTTGTTTTTTATTTAATTGTAATGTATTTTAAATATATATATTTTAGAGAGAGGGAGAGGAAGATAGGGATAGAAACATCAGTGATGAGAGAGAATTATTGATCGGCCATCTCTTACACGCCCCCCCCCAGTGGGGATCTAAACTGCATCCTGGGCACTCGCCCTGCCCTGGAATTGAACCGTGACCTCCTGGTTCATGGGTCAGTGCTCAACCACTGAGCCACACCGGGCTACACTTTTTTTTTTTTTTTTTTTTGTGCAGTCTAATCTTGTCTTTTGCCAGTCTGGTTTAGTCTGTTTGTATTATAATTACTCATAAATTTAGATTCATTCTTTCATTCCGTGTATCATGCTTTTTCTTTGTTTTCTCTCCACGTACCACACCCCATCCTGTGCTCTTTACTGTTGCCTTTATATTCTTTAGTCCTCTTTTCCCCTTTCCTCTGCTGCTTTAGAAGTGACACGTTCTCTTTTAGTGGCACCCTTCAATTTTTTTTTTACATGTATACTTAAAGTACAAGTTAATAGGTGTGCCCTCTTTTCAATACTATAATTTTAAGACTTTAAAATGCCTTAACGTAGGTGTCCCTTGTGTATTACATTTTCTTATTGTCTAGCATATTAGTTCTACGTGGCTTCTTTACCCCAAATTATTATTAGTTTATGTAGTAAAATTTATATAGATTTATCTATGTGCTTACTTTTTTCTTTGCTTATCATTACTGTTTGCCTCCCACCTACCTTCTGAGTTCACTTTTTTTTAAAATCAAAGAATATGTGATTTCTCTTTAACCCCCACTTTAGGAATTAGAACACTGTCATGTGAGGTCACAGTTTCAGGGCTGACAATAGACCCCGTGCCCTCTCAACTCCAAGTCTCTCGGCCTTGTGTAAATTTGCTCTTCTTACTTAACAAATTGCGGGAGATCACGAGCATTCTCATGTTTTCATATTACACAGTGTTTTACATAAATGTTAAAGGCACGCCTTAAAATTAAATACCCATTGATTTTGAAGTTATTTGTAACATGTTCATACAAGCTAATATCTTTTTAAAGTATGATATTTTGTAAAACGTTTTTTGTACTCGTTCAATAGAAACTTATCTGGCCACTGGGTAAAGCTAGCAATAAAACTACTGGTGCGCAATGTGTTAACCTTGGGTCTTCCACAAAAACAAATGGGAATTTAGTAACTAGTAAATGTAGCATTTCAAGTCAATGGGGAAAAGTAAACGTTAAGACAAATGGTTAGCTCTGTGGGGGAAAAATATAGCTGGATCTCTGCTACATTGTGTTCAAATCTGGCTTTGGCAATGGTGTGACCTTGGGTAATTTATTTAACCTTTCCAGGTCTCACTATTCTCTGAAAATGAATATGAGAATACTTACCTGACAGGATTAAATGAGAATAATACATGTAAAGTGAATGACACATAATCATTTAATAGATGGTAATTATTATAACTTTCCTTGCTTTTTTTTTCTCTTCATCTATGTATACATTTGGTATGATTATATTAACCCAAGTCTATTATGTGCCAATACAGTCACTTAATTGGTTTGACTATATAAACTTATGTTGGAGAGCAAAGACTGTAAGTGTTGAATTAATGGTGAGGTAACAGAATACCAAAGGATGTGAGAGTATTTCAATGGAATATATTTTTTGTAATGGACTTGGGACTTAAATAATGTAGGCTGTTTGCTAAATATGTTGACTATAGAAAAGTATTAACTTGGGACCCTTCTAAGAGCTACTGAAGTGATTCCAACATTGTTTGAATGTTTTTTTCACTATCACACCATGATATATCTACTGAGACTTATTGGTCATAATGACACTTAATAAAAATTAGATTTCAAATTTTAAGCTTTTATAGTTAAAACTGAAAATACTATTTAATGATTCTCTTTCCATGCTGTTCCAATTTGCTTACCATTCTTTATTTCTAAGATGAGTATTTGGATATATCCTTTGCAGTATATTTTATGTATTTTGTTTTTAAAGTGTGTTTTATACCCATTTGTTTAAGGTGGACAGGCATGTGGACCTGCTAGAAGTTGCCCAGGAAACTGATGGGTTTTCAGGAAGTGACCTGAAAGAGATGTGTAGAGATGCTGCCCTCCTCTGTGTCAGGGAATATGTTAATTCTACATCAGAGGAAAGGTATGTGTGTATAGAGTTGATCTCTAATATTTACCAAATCCTTTTAGAGCTTTTAGGTTAGTTTCTCTTATTTTGCTTTGTAATACGAACTCTGCGTATGGAATAAAAGGTAAGTTGGAATTAACAATCTCCCCAACTATATTTATTGTCTTTTTTTAAAGGTGAGTTCTGAAGATGATTGTGGGGGAGGGGTGTTTTGAGGAGAGTCTAAAATGAAGAGGTAGAGATAAAAGGCTAAATTTATACTGAAAATCCATGGACTGGTCACAGAAAGCTGACAGAAACTTAGGTTTGCCCATCTTCACTAAGAAAACAGGGTCCTCTAGTGTTCCTGGATTGCTTTGTATCTTAAATTCCTAAATTTCATTTTATATGATAATAGTACCTTGTGTTCCAGAAATTTAACATGTAAATGGGTGGGCCTTGCTGTGGACTAGATTTCAACTTCTTAATAAAAATATATTTACTAAACAAATAAACCATTTGTCATTGCAGCAAATTGCACTTGAAACCAATTTCAAAGTATGAGCTTGAGAAACCAGTTTTGTACCAACCTTATTCCAGCAAAGATACTGCTGAACTGGAAGCTCAGCTCTCATGAACTATGTCCCTTGGGAAGTTTTCCAAAAGGCTACTTGCCCTGAGCCAGTATAACTCTGCATTCTAAACCCCTGTTCAAAGTATCAAACTTCCTTTTTTTCAATCCTCACCCAAGGATATCTTTCCATTGACTTTTAGAGAGAGTGGAAGGGAGGGGGAGAGACAGAGAGAGAGAAACATCGATGTGAGAGAGAGACACATCAGTTGACTGCCTCCCACACATGCCCTGACCAGGGTCAGGGATTGAGCCTGCAACTGAGGTACGTGTCCTTGACTTGAATGGAACCTGGGACCCTCAGTCCACAGGCCGATGTTCTACCCACTGAGCCAAACTGGCCAGAGCCAAGTATCAACCTCTTCTTAACGAAGAATTTCTATGACTCTGGCAAGCTAGTGGACTTTGGGGCTTGTGTTGAATGAGTTCTCCAGCTCTTACCCTCTGTTTCTGTCTTTTTTCCTCATGCCCCTGAGGCTTTCACTCCAAGTGACCTGGATTTACCTCTTGTATTGTGTTTAATTATAGTGCATTGCCATAGAAGAAAAAGCTGCTCTTGGTATAGAAAGGTTTGCATGAAAGCTACCCTGTTAACCCTAGCTAGGTATGCACTAGTCCTGGACCTTTCTTCCGTGTTCCCTTGATCCCTATCATGCAGAGAGCAACTCCCATTTATTTATTGCTCCAGCTGCTCTAGCGCTAAAGTTGGGAATACTTTTGACCTCTGTAGCCAATCTACATGCCAAAGCTTTTTATTCTTATAAATAAGATTAAGAGGAGAAAAAGAAAATAACTTACAAATTTTGCTTAAATAAAATTACATTAATAATGAAAGTTTCTCTGCTGTCCTCAAAGCCGTGAAAATTTTAATATTTCAATGTGAAAAATCTGACCAATAGACTTGGATTATCTTAAAATTTTTTCGCAAATGGTTTTTCCTAAGTGTCCGTAAGTTACAAAGGAGACATTATATACTGTGTTTTTCTTATGATTGAAGTTGGGAGGACCTTGATTAGTTGGTTTTTATTAATAGCAAAGAATTTATTTTAGTTTGTCAAAAGCTAAACATACACATGAATTATATCTGTAGGAAAGCTACTTTTTAATTCCAATTTTGATGGGAATATGTTTGACTCCTTGATTGGAATTAACATTTCACTTTGGTAAATTGGCACACCTTTATAGAACATTTTCACCATATGGTAATATTCTGTACTCATATTCTTAGTGTGAAGTATTTGATTTTGGTTACCACAGCTATGATGTTTATAAGCCAGCCATTTAGCTTTCTACCTTTTAGCAGTCAGTGCTTTTTAAAAATCTCAGTCTAAGACTTGTAATGCATAGATAGCTCCTGAAAAAGTTTGCATGAAGCTTTTAATTGTGGTTGTCTTTGGGGTCTTGGTTGGGAAAGATTTATTTTTTAATCATGGTAAAAATCTTTTAGAAAGGTATCTTCTAAAGTTTTTTAATATCTGGGGGTTTTGTATTTGCATTTTAGCCATGATGAAGATGAAATTCGGCCTGTGCAACAACAGGACCTGCATCGGGCGATTGAAAAGATGAAGAAGTCGAAGGATGCAGCGTTTCAGAATGTTTTAACACATGTTTGTCTAGATTAAGAGTAAACGTCATTTGTGCAGGTCAGTGCAGCCTAGTTGGGTGTGCCCTGTTATCATTAGTGGAAATAGAATGGAAGGAATGGTGTTCTTACACAGTGAGGGAGTTGAATGACACTGGTTTTATACTCTGAATTCTAAGTTATTGAGACATGGTTGTTCTATAAATGGTATTGCCACTTGTCAAAAATCATGAGGAGGAACAATTTAACCCAGCCTGCGTGTGGGTGCTTGTGTTTGGCCTCTTTAGCCATATGTTGCAGCCTTATTACATCTAAGCTTGTCTTAAAGTGACAGGTGAGTCATTGAGTCATTAGTGAGAAATGGAGATGTGGTTAAGTGCTGCTTTCTAGATATGTGAGCGTGTGTGTGTATTGAATGTATATAGTCACACATTTTATATTGACATTCTGTAGATATGTTTGAATACAGAAACTTTTTTTTACCCCCAACTACTGAATCAAAAAGTACTAAATGCTATATAGCAAAACTAAGATTGATGGTTGTGTCTATAAGGTACAGCGATTCAGCCATTTTCAGTTGTCACTTGTTTCAGCTTTTTTTAAAGTTGAGCATTCTCTGAAGTTGAACAGTTGGAGTCAGCCACATATGAATACTTAGATGTGGCTTAGTTATTATGGTTGTCAGGATAACCATATAATACTTGTTCAGAGATCAGCATTGAATGGTTTTCAGGCAGTTGCGTGATCAAGACCAATTTCACCTTTCCACAGCACACTGAGTAGAGACATTTATAAATTGATATACGTAAAGGTGATTGAAAGACATTCAAAAGAATAGCTTAGAAAAACCTCAGTGCCATACAACACATGTATGTGACTTCCCCTTTCTTCATCTAATGTTGCCTAGTTCTGTTGTAACCATGATTTTTTAATGTTATTTTATAGTTATGTGTTCTTTATTTATGGTCAAATATAATTTGGTCATCAAAAATAAAATAATTTATTGAAACAAGTAGCTGTTACTAAATATACTTAAAAATACTCATTTTGTAACTGAAATTTAAAGTTTTCTTAGCATATTATAAATTGTGCCCCAGTTAGTACAAATATACACACATCAGAATTCCCATATTGTATCTATAGTCACTTGAGGCTGTGTGTGCTAACATGTCAGTGAAACATTTTTTTGTCCACAATTTCACTAATTAGAATTCTGTTACGGCACTTAAACACACAGCAGGAGGAGCGTGGCACACTGTGACAGAGGAACCTTCTGAATCATCAGGAAGATTAAATTATGCTCTTTATGTTTTTGTTTTTATTGTATTTCTTTGAAAACTTTAAATCTTTATTTGTGCATTATTGGAGTAACTTTTTGAGTCTCATTAGAACCTGCTGAATAGTTGGTTCTTCAGTTGTGCTTTGGTAGGTGGGGTATAGGTTCTGGGATAACACTTTGGATAACAAAAATCAAGTTTTGAAAAATTGTGAAGATGATTGAAAAATTGAATGCAAAACACAAGATACCAAAAAAATATAGTCTCCATTTTTAATAATTATACTATTATTTTATAAATGTGTAATAAAGAGGTCCCTCTTAATTGATTTTTCTCTACTTATGGCTTGGTCTTTTTCAGTTATGTAAAATTTTCTGGGTGGTTTTGGTTTATAAACCTTGCCCTCGGACTGGTTTTATCTTGCTGTGCAGCATTCACACTTCTGTAGCTTATATACTAGTATCTAATAATTATTTTTGTCTTAGTAAGAATTTCAGTAATCATTAATTTTAATCTTATGACTTATTGATAAAAAATAAGGTGTGATATATTCCTTCTCAGGTCCTTTCTATTTATCTTCTCTTAAATTCAGAATATCCAGTAGTAGTTATTAAATTTATCATAGTTTTAATCATCAAATGAAGTTAGAGAAATACACTAATCCCAGCAATTATGACTCCTTGAAGCATCTTAATGCCTTAAAGTAATTGAGGAAACTTTATTATTATTTTGCTTAGAGTTTCTGACTTGAGAAAATTAGAGTTTCTGACTTGAGAAAATGCTTTTTCCCTAAGTAATAAACATTGGGAAAGGCCTTTTTTTATTAAAGTATAGTTGAGATGCAATATTATGAATTTCAGGTGTACAACACAGTTATTTAACATTTATATATGTTACGAATTAATCACCATGACAAATCTAGTAACCATCTGTCACTGTACAGTTATTGCAATAGTCTGTATTCCCTTGTGCTGTACATTACATCCCATAACTTATTTATTTATAACTGGGAGTTTGTACCTCTTATTCCCCTTCACATTTTCCCTCCCTCCCCTCAAGTTAAAGCTTTCCTTACATGTGTAGGTGAAAATTCTAAGACATGTTCATGAAATTGTATTAAGATGTATAGCAACTAGAAACAAATGAGATCAAAGCTACAAGAAACCATTTAACAATGAAAGTAAAACAAAATATCCTCAGTAACACTGGTGTAAAATTTACACTATTATAACTCAACTAGAGGCCCAATGCACGAAATTCGTGCAAGGGGCTCAGCCCTCACAGCCGCAGTGCCCGGCTTCGTCCTGAAGGTCGTCCGGGCGGTCGTTCTGCTGTTTGGCCATCAGGTCTAATTAGCATATTATGCTTTTATTATTATAGATAGCTCATAAAGGTCTCATTACTGAAACACTGAACTGGGAATGTTTTTGTGATTGTCTAATATTTAGTTATAAATCTGCTTGAGCACACTTTAGTTGTAAGCTTTTGTGCTTTGTAATACAATTGCAATGAATGTGAATTCTGGTGTGGGCACCAAGGACACAGATTTGTGAAGTGTGGCAGCTCAGTTTTAAAACCCAAGCCAAGCATACTGAAGTAATTACTGGCATGCAAAACTTGGAACTGAAATGGAACACAGTGGTGTGTGTCTCACTAGCTAACGTTGCACTATTGTTCCTTCAAACCTTCAGATATAAGAACTGTTGATTGATCTGGTGACCATCTCATTTCCTGATGACCTACCTGTGCTTGACCTAAAAGTTAGGTGATAGAAAGGAGGAAGATGAGGAAAAAGCGAACTCTGCTGTTCTCACGTAGCCAAGAGTTGTTTCTTCTTACAAGGAATATGGTTGGAAAGAAATCTTGTGGCCTGATTCAAGTGTTGATAATATTTATAAGTCCACCAATATCTGACTGAATGGTTTATACATGCCTTTCCAGGACTTTTTCACACTGCCTGTACAGTTTGGCATACTCCCTTGGCACCACTTACATCTTCATGAACTTACACATTTCCTGCCCTACTTTGTCCTACTAATTGTCACTGGGAGCCAACAAGTAGGGATCTGGGGAGGAAAAGGGAGGGGGGACAAGTGACACCAGTTTTATTGTAGTGAGGACCAGCAGCAGTCATTTTCATTAAGCCTTCAGGACAGAAAGGAGGCTGGGGGCTCAAGGAGGAAGAGAACCAAAATGCAAGCCTTCCTGGAGGCCCCTGAAAGTACGTGTGGAAACAGGTATCCTTTTTGCATATAGAAGTAGCAATTGCTGAGGTCAGTGGAGGTATGGGAGTTACTGCAGACGAACACAACTGCTTCCAACCCCACTGGTAAAACTCCTTGCGGGCACTTTGAGAAAAAGGGAGCAAGTTAAAAAAAAATTTCATTTCGGATCCTCAGGCAATGAAATCCTGGGGAGAGGTCCCTAAGAAACCCGGTCACCTCTGAAAACATCACTAGTGCTTGTGTCACTCCCATCTAGAGCAGTTCTTGAAATGACGTGGGTAAGGGCCACCAGCCTCGTAATTATGGTCTGAAAGAGTTGCTGCTGTTTCCAGTTATTTGAAGTCACCGAGCCCTCAACAGTCATGTGGTCAACCCACACTCAGTGTTACAGGCAGAGAAGCCCCGACGTTTATTTTGAGAAATTTATTAACATGAGGACAAGCATCAGTTGTACATACAAATATCATTTGCACTGTGTGGTATTAGAGCAGAAGAACAGTTATAAATATATTTAAAAATCACAAACTATATGGGTTAAGGCACTATATCCTGTCTCATGTTTTCAATAAATATGCTGTTTTTTTAAAAAGGCAATTATGAGTACCTCCAATTAGGTGAATATAGGCACTCTATTATTAAAGACAGTCAGTTACACTTTGCTGTGACGATTGTATATTATTCTCAAAAGAACTTTCATTAGCTAAGATTAGCATTTAAGAAAACAACACAGAATATTTAAAAAAATCACAGTTTTCTCTTTCCAGTTTAAGTCTCTTCCAGAGAGACCCATGTACAAAAGGTACTGTTTCTTCATATATCCCTTAGCACAAGGAATTACACATAAAGTATAAAAAGATTGCCTCCCAGGAAGTAAAGCCATCAGAGGGGCTGGATGTCTCAGAACCAGCAATAAATCTTTGGAAAAAGTTTTTCCTTTTTTTTTTTTTTAACTGCAATAAAATCAGCTGAGTTTTAAAAACTCGACCTTTCAGCATCCAAGAAGGCTGCTTTGTAAGTGCCCTCTATTTAAGGAGCTTTACTAAGCAGTTGAGGGGAATCAGACCTGGCTCCTGTATTGTACAGTATAGACCGAGTTCAGAGAGGGAGTCACGTGGCCTGGGTGCTCATTCAGTACCACCAGTACTTCCTGATTATGCCCATTTTCTGTTTTTGCTGCCATGCCCAGCAGCTCACCAAGCATGTGCTCACGCTTTGTCTTAGTTTGGTCACCTGTCAGGGGACAGGGTTGCATTCGATGGTTTCTGTGGTCTTTTCCAGTTTTAGCAGCTCAGTAATCTGATGGCACGAATGGTTTTCAGTTATAGCAGCTGCTGCTGCAGTGTAAAGGCATAGCCTCTTCATAGAGGAGAAAAAGTAACTTTCCACAGTATTTCCTGGGTGGAAATCTCATCAAAGCACTCAATGCTATTTAATGACAAGACACGGTTTCACTGGAGTTATATTATTCACGGAAGTGCATTAAGACTTCTCTTATTAGTTAATAGAACTTTCATGGCAGAAGTAGGTTGCATAGATCTCTGAGAGTAAATTCACATTTTCACACATTCTCCAGTCAGATCATACTTCAGCACCTAAAAGATTGGGCAGTAGGGCTGTATACTACGTGAGGAGAAATATTAGGAAGAATCTTGATGTGAGTCACACCTCATTCAGGGTGAGAAATTATTTTGTTGTATAGAAGAGGCTGCCCATCTGATTTATTCTTGTGTGTAACATTGGTAGAGGGTAGGTTGGTAAAACTTAAGCTGGAAAATGTGTTTTCCTTTTTGGCAAGTAAACTAGACACATGGTCAGAGCTTTAAGAAATCTAGGACCTACCTGTTCAGATGCAGTAGACAATACAATTAATTTCATTCTAAAATGATAATATTGCTGTTAACCTGCTAAGATTTGGTCTTCAGTTTGACTTTTATATATTGAGGTTGACTCTAAATTTTAGACACAATTATTACCTCATTATAAACCACTAAAATCAGTCATTGAGAAACAATTGGATTCAAAGCATCTAATCACAAAAATAGGAAAGGGAATCAAAAAGCACTTGAGAAAGAAGCTGGAGCCGAGGGCATTTAGCTGCTCTTCTCCAGGGACCTGTAGTAATCTGTCAGGACTTTCCACGCTTTGGGGGCCATGAAGCCGTCTGGGGGGTTCTCTCCTTCCCGGGCCAGCTTCCTCATGCGGGTTCCTGAGATGAAGTCAAACTCGTTGTGCCTGTCACAGGATAGGAACAAAGAACTCTGCGTAGGTAAATAACATCTTCCTTAAAGATTCCTGGAGTAGCTTATGGGTTCTGAGAACACATTTTTTTTCCTTCTGTAAAATGCTGCATCTTCTAAAATGGCAATTCGTTAATTCTTCAGTTCAGTAAAGGAACTTGCAGAAGAAGGGGACATAATGCAGCTATCCATTCAATATGTACTGTGTCTACTCTGTTCACGGAAGTGTCTTGTATTGCTCTGCCTACTTCTGTGTGCTCTGAGTATGATTAGTGCCTCATAATGCTCATTAAAAGATTTTTCTGCCCCAGCCGGCATGGTTCAGTGGTTGAGCATCCACCTATGGACCAGGAGATCACGGTTCAATTCCCATTCAGGGCACATGCCTGGGTTGCAGGCTCGATCCCCAGTGTGGGGCTTGCAGGAGGCGGCCGATCAATGATTCTTTCTCATCATTAATGTTTCTCTCTCTCTCCCTCTTCCTTCCTCTCTGAAATCAATAAAAAGAAAAAAAAAGATTTTTCTGGCCCAGCGGGTATGGCTCAGTGGTTGAGCGTCGCCCTATGAACCAAGAGATCCCTGGTTTGATTCCTGATCAAGGGCACATGCCTGGGTTGCAGGCTCGATCCCCTGTGGGGGGCATGCAGGGGGCAGCCAATCAGTGATTCTCATCATGATGTTTCTAATTTCTCTCTCCCTCTCCTTTCCTCTCTGAAATCAATAAAAATATATTTAAAAATATAAAATAAAATTTTAAAGAAAAAGAATTGAGGGTCAGATAAAGAGCTTCACAGACAAGAAAAAGCTAAAGGAGTTCACCACCACCAAACCAATATTACATGAAATGTTGAAAGGTATTCTTTAAGAAAAGGAAAAAGAAGAAGATATAAAAAATATGAACAACCGCCCTGGCCGGTTTGGCTCAGTGGATACTCCCTTCCTCTCTGTAAAAAATCAATAAAAATATATTTAAAAAAAATATGAACAACAAAATGGCAATAAATACATATCTATCAATAATTGAATCTAAAAATCAAAATAAATGAACAAGCAATCTAATGAACAAAATAAACTGGTGAATAACAGAATCAGAGGCATGGAAGCATGGAACACACTGACCAATCTAAGAGGTAAGTGGGGAGGGGAGGCAGGAAGAAATTAACCAAAGATCTTACCTATGGACATAAACAGGATGGTAAAGGCCGGGGGCAGGGCGGGAACGGGGGGGTGGGTGGTAAAAAGGGGGACATTTGAAATACTCTCAACAATAAAGAGTAAAAACAAAAAACGAATTTTCCTTTGAAAACCTACCTTTTGGGATCATAGAAGTCCATGGCTTTTTTGGCTTTGTTGTAGGCAGCCACTCGGAACGGAATGATTTCCACAGAGGTGAGGCCAGGGGCCATGCTCAGTACCTTGCCCCCGTGAGTGGGCTCATACAGGTCTTTCTTGGTCTCGGGGTGGGGCATTCCTGCAGGGTCCCGGCCCACAATGTAGAAGTTGGCCCCCGCAACCATCCGGGCCCTGCAGTGCCACTGGACCTAGGAAACATCAGGTAAGGGACTTGCTGGTTATCCTTGGCCAATTCTGTGGTTCCCTTTACACGCCTTTATTCTGCTTTAAAGGTAATTCAGTAATGTTGGCCCACTAATAATTGCAAGAAAGTCAGTGAGGTATCTAAGACTCCACCCTCTCTTCTTCATCTGCGTGGTTATGTTGGGTGGGACAGCAGTTTTAAAGATAAGAATCCCCCTTTTAGAACCTGAGGTTATATTTCCTCATCTCTCCAAGGCTAGCAGACCAGGAACACTCAGATCTCACTTTTTACAGAACTGTGTGGATTTTACCCTCCAGTCCTCCTCTATTCAGAATAAATCACAGTTAAGGAAATTAACAAACTCCAGTGTCTCTTTTCTGACTGTCAAGAATGAGCCAATTACCTTTCATATGCATTGACTCCAGTTCAACACAGCAATGGGATTTCAAAATGAACTGTCTTCTTTAAAGCTCAGATAGAAACAGAGAGGGTAGAGAGGAGAACTAGGAGGCCTGGAACTTTGATCTGGTTAAAGAGATTTAATTTGTTAAACTCTGGGACATTCCAAAAGGTTGAGATCCTTTCAATTCATCACACTTCCTGCAAACTTGTTCAAATCCACTACACCAGTGGTGCCGTGGGACAGGGGTCTCTGATAGGCTCGCTGTGTGTTGAGAGGGACATATTCTCCGTGCGCTTCTAACGTAGCTCACAGAGATTGGAGACAGAGTCACTGGAACTTCAGAAACTGAATATTGGGTTAGACACAACTTGCCCTATAACCCAGTTAAGTGGTACGATCTACCTCATTTACATGACAACTTCATATTCTCAAAGGTGGTGTCTGACAGGTTTGATTTGATGTTTCTAGCACTTTCATATGCACTACATGGAAACATAGGTCAATTGGATAAAGAAGAGAGATCAGAAGATTTTAGAATCTGCTCATGACAAAGGAAGATCACAGAGACTCATTTGCTCTTTAAGTCAAGTTTGAGCCTGCACTTCTGAGTCCCATGGCCCAGCTCAGGGTACCGCTCACCTCTGTGGGGCCAGCATACAGCATGGGAGATGGGAAGATGGCGACGATGGTTGACTTGGGATCCAGGACCCCTTCCTCGAGCACAGCTGCGTGCTGCTTCATCCGCCAGTCCAGGGGCACGTCGTCATCCTTGGTCCAGCCGCCCAGAGGGTGGAGCAGGAGGACCGGGTGCTTGTAGTCCCTCTGTAGGAGGCGGCGGCGGGTGTCCTGCATCAACAGAGCGTGGCCATTGTGCACAGGATTGCGCAACTGGAAGGCAAACACCGCATCTGGGCAAGAAAACAGGCCAAGGTCAGAGAAGTGCAGTGTGGCTTGTCTGCAGGAACAGAAAGATGCAGCTGTGTGTATTGTTCAGTGCATTCATTATAGCTACTTGTTTTTGATAATCAGCTGGAGAATCCACCTGGGCCTCTAGGGGTGTTACTCCAAAGGTGCCAAGGTCAGACTATTTACACAGGGACAGGGTGCAGAGGCAGGAAGCCCGAGAGGGAGAGCCTGATGCAGAAATGAAAGCGTTTGTTGGCAGGACCTTTGCAGCAAACCAGGCTCAGGCAGGTGCCCACTGCAGTTCCTGCTCCAGTCTCACTTCCCCGGGGTGCGGGAGTGGGGGGGGGGGGGGGATAATGAGGGACATTTCCTAGGGCCCCTGCAAGGTATCAACAATCTAGCAATATAATTTCAAATCTTCTCTTTAAGGGAAACTTCAAAACTACTTGACTTAGTGATGGATACCTGAGAGCCTTTTTCTTTCTGGTTATGAAATAATATATAGCCATTATGGAAAAGTTGGGAGATACAGAAAAGTCAAAAATATAATATAAAAATCACTCATAACCTTATTGTTTTTTCTCCATCTTTTTCAAAATATGTGATGTGAAAATCTTCCCTCCCGTTGGTCCAATTCCACCCCCAGAGGCAGCTGCTGTTGTCAGCAGGCAGCCTGGTGCTCGCTGCCAGACTGCTGCTTCCAGACACAGAGCTTCGGGTTTTAAAAACAATCATCATACTTTATTTTGTTTTTCAGAATTGTTATATGGTTCTGCAAGTTGCTTTTTCGCTTAATAAATACACTTTGGGTATCTTTCCGTGTCAGTGCATATTTTTAACTGCTGGATAGTGTTCCAGTGTATGGATGTAGTTCAACTTTGTAAACTGTTTCTGTATCAATAGACATACCAGTAGATGTTTCCGGCTTTTTTAAACTATAAATGTGCTGTTGCTGATACCCTTAATTCGGTCATCAGAGGGTGGTAAGGGGTAGAAATGCATCCGAGCCAGCCTACGTACCAGCATTCATCTCTTTACATTTCTGCTTGAGCTCCAGAGGTGTCAGGCGGTACTGGTCCAGCCCATCGTTCCACTTTATTCTCTCCAGCACCTGAAGGTCTCCACCAACCAGCCAATCCCCACTTTCCATCACCATCTAGAAAGACAATTATTAGAATTAGTCATTAATATGGACTTCTGTATACCTGAAAATTTTTCTCTTCGTGGACCAATCTTGGGTTAGCATT